CTTTTCTTTTTTTTTTTTTTTTTTTTTAATTTTTAAATTTTTTTCCCCTATTATTTTTTTCTATTATTTTATTTTACCAGCTCCAATTTAGCCCAGGATCTTTTAACTGCTGCCAGCGGTGGAGCGCAGATCGGGATTAGGTAAATAAAAAGAACAACTCATTTTGTTTGGTTTTTGTTTTGCCAAGCCTCGGGGGTTGGGGATATCAATCCAAACACCTCCTTTTCTCTCCCTCATTTCTCTCTTTCTTTCTCTTCCCCATCCCCTCCCGCCATCCCCTGGATGGTGCAGGAGTGGGGACACTGGTGCACGTGAGGAGGACTGCTCTCCTTGGGGCGGGCGGAGGGCTGGGGGAAGCCTTCACATGGGGCTCGGATATTTTGATGCTATTTAAAGATTTGCCTTCCCCTTTCAAAGTTGTTTATCCCCCCTTGCGGAGGAGCCGTGTTTTTAACCCGAGCTAAATATGACACTTACAAGCTGCAAACCAGAAGCCTGAATGTCCTTTACGGACTTGAACGTCCAGCTTCTCTCCTCTCTATTCTTTTCTTTCATTTTATTTCATTTTCTTTTCCCTTCTTTATGTTCTTTCTTTCTTTCTGACCTTTCTGTCTCTCTTAATCCATTTTTAGAGTTTTAGGGTCCGAGAAGCCTTCTCTGTTTTCTCCCAAGGCCGTAACAAAACTGAATCTGATGTTTGTATTTGTCTGAATGGATCGAAACAAGTTCAGCGTAGGGAGAGATTCAGCTTCTCTCGAGGCCGAGCCTATAAAGTCTCAGTGCAAAGCCGAGGATTAGGGTATAGTTGTTATAGTTGGCTTTTGGGAGGGAAACCATAAAAATCGAGCATTTTGGAGATTACCTTAGGCGCTGCGGGAATTGCCCGATAAAAGGCGAGCAGGGCAGGAGGGCAGAGCCGTGTCCCGGACAGGTGCACAGTAGGTCCAGTTTAGTAAGTCCGAGGCCAACCGAGAAAAAGGGCCAACCCCTAACACAGCGCGGAGCGCGGTCCCCCGCGGCGGAAGGAGCTCGCCGCGCAGCTCCGCGGGGGGAGCCCGTCTGCGGAGTGGCCGCGGACGGCACCGCCTCGGCCGGCCGGGCCTGGGGATAAGGCTCAGCGCCCTGCGGAACCGTCACCCAGAAAAGGTTTTGTCCCCCCACCCGCGGCCGTGGGAAGAGGGGAGTACAGAGGGGAGAAATCCTCCCCGCCGGCGGGAGGGAGGAAGGAGGATTCATTCCTGCGCAGGGGAGGCACCGGGAGTTACTCCAGGGAGAAAGCGAGAATGAATCTTGTGCTGGGGGCCTTTCTATGCCCGAGGGGATTAACAAACCACACACGCGAGCCAAACTCCCAAAACGACCTAAAAACTTCTGCAGGGAGAGGACTGAGGGGCCTGGCCCCTGCGGCCACCTCGCCGGCACCCACCCGCGCCCGTGGCCCGCGAAGCCTCCGTCCCGCAGGGATGCCGACCCGGGGATTTGTTGTTGGTGTTTTTTGGGATAAAGGCTGCCCCGGGCAGTGTAGCGATCGCCGGTGCAGTCGGACCCCGGTTGTTGTTGTTGTTATTATTATCGTTACTGCGAAACTAAAATCCGCCGCACTCATCCGCATTCGCAATGGTGGTCTGGAGAAACTTGTCAACACTGATTTCGTGATAAAATGTGAATGATGATTTTATAAGGATTGAGCGGAGATATCCAAGGCACATGCTGACTGAGTCCTTCCAGTCCTCATTAATGTTAGCAATTAACTCTTTCACGCTCAATTAGCCCCGAATAAACCTGCTTTAATAGATTCTGCACACTTCATTAATATTTTGAATAAATCTGTGCTGAACAATGCACTTTATTCCTCAAGAGCACCACGCTCGAATAATGCGGAGCGAAAGGGCAATTTTATTCCCTTTCCAGTTAGTTTCCCAAACACAGATAAATTGCAAGCTCTATTTGCTCGCTTAAACTGATAGGAAGGGAAAATCTTGTCCCCTCAAAAGGGACAAAAAAAAAAAAGTAGCCGACCTGGTGGCAAAATGCTGCACACCGATGCGGTGCAGCCGGAAGGACAGGGCTACCAGACTGTAAAGGATTCGGGCTAAACAGGGGGACTTTTTTGACAGATGAGCCTGATTGCTGTAGTTTGAGTCTAGCGCAAGAATGCAGCTTTTTATGCCCGCTATTTTATCATGTTTGTAAAAATAAGCAACGTTCTCAGGGTAATTTACCTCCTCCATTCTTCCATGTGGAACTAATTAGCAAACCTCATTATTTATGAGTCAGGTATTTAATGTAACAAATATCCCTTTCAAAGGGCACATCGGAAATTGATAATTCAAGGTAGAAAGGAAAAATACCGACTAGCCACAAGATTACTTTAAAATCCATTTAATTTTGCCCCTTGCTATGCTACCAGCAAAAAGCCGGCTGGATTTTTATTTTCCTTTTTTTCCTTTTTTTTTTTTTTTTTTTTTTTTTTTCTGGCGTATAGAGGAGGTAGAATTTAATCTGGAAGGTTAAGATTACAATGGTTTTAAAACAATGGCAACCGGACAATAGCATTACTGTATCTTCAAGCAGGACAAAGGGTAAGAAAGCTGGAGACAGATGTAGTCTTTCAAGTTTATGATATTATTTTGCAGAGTAAATTTATTTTGGCATGAGTGGGTTTTGTTTCAGTCAGAACACAAGTGGTTTGTTCTTAATTACTGACCGAGCTAGTTTATGTTAAAAAAAGAAAACCCCGCACATCTTTATTATGATGGGGGAATTCAAGCAGAGAACTCGTGGGGTCTTCTTCAGTTAAAAAAAAAAATAAAATAAAAAAAAAAGCCCCGATAACGATCTGTTTACATGAAACAGAATTAAAGGTGGAGGTGACACCGAAATCAAAGAAACATCGATCTCTCTGCGGGCAAGAGAGCGGAGAGTTACTGCGCTGTGAAACTCTCTCGCTTTGATGTCCCGGAGAGAGGGGACTTCTTCATAAAATACTCTGCTCTTCATCTGTATTTTTGACTGTCCCGGTCGCACAGAGCAAAAGTGTAGCTTACATTTCTGGAAAAGTGCCAAGAAACTTGTAGTAACGTGAACACTCTACTCCCACCTCCCCTTTTCTTCTTCTTCCTTCTTTTTTTTTTTTTTTTTTTTCCCCTATTTCCCCCTTGTTTTCTTTCTTTCTTTT